CCAATGACTCCCATACCATGTGATCATTCTAGTATGTAGTTGATGCTTCTCTCTTTTTTTCTTAGATCCAGACTGAGTGTTTCTCTTCATTCTTCTTGGTCTATTCATCCCTATTCTTATCAATCCATGACTAAACCCCAACTCTTGGAACCTAACTTTCAATTATTGTGCCTCTTTTTCAAATTCATTTTCTGTACCATTTGGACGGACATATAAAAAATGTCAGAATAACCTGTATCATTTCCGGTGGGTGATTAGGGGTTGAAATACTGACCTGTGACAGCTTCTTTGTCACAGGTCGGCTCTAACTATGAGGATGAGTGGAAATCACTCACCTCATAGTTGTCCTTTAAAGGTCCACTCTAACAGAGCTTGCCACATTCCCTAATGACTCCCATACCATGTGATCATTCTAGTATGTAGTTGATGCTTCTCTCTTTTTTTCTTAGATCCAGACTGAGTGTTTCTCTTCATTCTTCTTGGTCTATTCATCCCTATTCTTATCAATCCATGACTAAACCCCAACTCTTGGAACCTAACTTTCAATTATTGTGCCTCTTTTTCAAATTCATTTTCTGTACCATTTGGACGGACATATAAAAAATGTCAGAATAACCTGTATCATTTCCGGTGGGTGATTAGGGGTTGAAATGTGGAGCTACTGATCTTTGCACCTTCCTTTTTACTTTTAAATCCATAAATTCCATTTCCACTTTTTCAATTTGTATTATAAGTAAACATTGACCCTTAATAACAAGCACATCATCTATGTATCATTTCCATAGGCCCATAGAGTCCTTTTTGCTAAAATTCAGACAACAGCAGAGTACTAGAATGTCTACCACTTTTCTATCTCTCTTTTTTGATATAAGCTATTTTTGGGGGTGTAGTAGCCACTGAATATATGTGAGTCTGTCTCTTAATTAATGAGCAATAGCACATGGCATTTCCTTTATGGATAGTTATTTTAATACTGTGTATACAGCTATCTGAGACAACCTTCCCATAGTAGACACATATACAGTGCCCCCCAATACCACCACCACAACCTCAAAGAAGGCTCATATGCAGTATTCCCCCACCTCTACAAACCTTAGGAACATACTGCATATGAGGCTTCTTTGAGGTGGTGGTAGTATTGGGGGGCACTGTATATGTGTCTACTATAGGAAAGGGGCCCAAGATAGCTGTACCGTATTTACAGCATTAAAGGCACAGGGCTTAAAGGAGAACTATGAGGTGAGTAAAAATCACTCATCCTCATAGTTCGAGCCCACTTGTGACAATTAAACTGTCACACATTGGCTCAATGGATTGGGAAGTGAGCGAACACATAGCGTTGCCTGCTCACTTCCCTATCATCTCCCTGCAGAGAGTGGGGACTGTCAGTCAGCGCTTACCGCAGGGATTCCCCCCCTTCCCCGCTCCGATCCTCCAGTGCTGAGTTGAGGAACGGATGGGGGAGGGGGCGGGTACAGCTGGCTCTGCCTCTAGATAGGCAGAGCCCGCTGTCACTCACGCAGCTGGGTGGATCTCGACAGTAAGAGCAGCGGCGAGTCAGCGCTGGTCCGGTTGGAGGAGCTCCAGGTGGGGTCTTAATTTAGCAAGTACTTGTCAAAATGCCCTGTTTTTTTCCGCCCTCACCCTGCAGCGCCCTCAGGCGGCCGCCTGACTTGCCTTGCAGTAGCTCTGGGCCTGCTCCTGTGACCCTTAAGAGAACTATGGGGAAAAACACTTACCCCATAGTTCTCTTTTAATGATTAAAGTGTATGCAAAGCTGAAGCTTTTTTACATTTTTGGTAAAGTGTGGAAGGATTAGAACTTCTGAGGAGATTCACCCTTTCTATTCGTCTTGGTGACCGTTGTCTCCAGGACTAAAAGTGTGGGAAAGTCTAACATTTTGAGTTGTTGCCAAAACAGGAATAGAGGGGAAGTCAATTGTTCCTGTGACTGCTGTCTGGGAGGAGATTATACTACCTTCGGCAGCTGCTGTGCAGGCCTCAGTGCCCCTGCAGACAGTCGTCTGTTTGCTGCTTACTTAAGCCAGTAAAGGAAAAAAAAACCCTCTTGTTTGCTGTGCTGTACATTCGTTTTCTCTTTTTTATGTTTTTCTTCCTCTGAACCTTTATAATAGACTTGCTAAGAAAAATATCAAATGTGGAACAATAATTTTTTAGAGGGCTGTAGGGAGCTCAGTGTGAAAGTGTTGATTTTTGTAGGAGCAGTAATAGCAGTGGGGCAGTCTCAGGTAATATGTCTCCAGGCTATGACTGTCTTCAGTCTCCAAAAACTGCTATAGCATGTCTGCTGTCCCTGACCATCTCCCAATGCACATCGTCAGTCTTTTACAGCTTTCTGTAGCATTACATTCAGTGAATGTTATGTGCGGTTCCTTGGTGAGGGGCTGCACTTGAGGCCAACAATCTCAAGTAAGTTGACCACTCTATACAAGATTTAAAAACAAAATTATTTTGATATATTTTATTCCCAATCCTGCTAATCCTGTGCAAAATAACCTACTTAGACCTGCTTATGATTAGATAGGTGACCTGCCATACTGTGGTCACTTCTGGAGGGACAGGACTTTGAAGTTGATAGAGAGGTTTAAATGGAAAAGCTTCGGAGCTGGATGCCCTTGCTCATGGCAACTGGGATTTGCCCAGCCCTGCTCTATAGTACCAAACACACAGTTGTCAATTATTGGTTGTTTGTTATAACAAGAGAAGCCTGAGTGGACAGGTTTGCATGGAAAAAAAAAAATATTTAGGCTGTTTGCATAATTTATTTTCCACAAATTTGTACTGCCGACTAAATTAATGATCACACTTCCTATTGAACAGATTTGTTAAGTTTTATTATTTGTTTCCCTCCAGAGAGGCTAGACAAACTTTGGCATGGTTTATTCAGGTCCCCATCAGCCTGATTGATTGATTGACTGTTCCTGCAAAGTTCTGGAAATGAATGACACGTTGTCAGCTCTTAGAGAATAAAACCTTCAGAAGTTTGCATAGCTTCTATGTGCAGCTGATCCAATTACAGTATCTCGCCCTCATCCATTATTTATGGTGTTTGACTCAACTCCCCTTCGACCAAGGGTGCATGTAGAAGTCCAAGCGTCATCGGTAACCTGCCTGCTCATGTCAAGTAGATTTAAGTTTAATTCTGCCTAGAATTCTTTCTATAAAATATGTTCTCATTTATTAAAAATATTAGGTGATATAAAAATATCTTAGAGGATTGCTTTCTTTAATATCCATCTCAGAATTCTGGAATCTAATAATACAATCACCTATTAATATGTTAATATTTGAATACCTTGTTTTTGTGTATAGTTTGTAACTATAAATGGACATGGAGACAGGCATGGTTGCTCATTATATACTGTATATATGCTCTGTTTCCTGTTTGGTAATGGTGAACAGTTAGTATAGTTTCTGCCCTCTTTCAGTGCAAGCCTATGGCTCCAGTTACAGTCAGGGCCGGATTTGCTCTCCCTGCTGCCCCAAGGCCAGGTTCCGCAATGCGCCCTCTCCCCGCCAACCGTACCCCCACCTCCGCCCCAAATCAATGGAGAATGGCAACTGGATGGCAGGGGCGGCAGGGTTAGTTCTAATTTTTTTGTTTCTTTATTTTTTCTTACTTTTGTATCACTTTTTTTTAATTTATTTTTTAAATTTTTAGCTTGTCGTTTATTTTTTTATAATTTTCTATCTTATTATTGTTTATTTATTTTTTATAATTATTTTCTTATTATTTTTTTAATTTTAATTTATTTTTTTATTATTTTTTATTAAAAAAAATATTTCTCTTAACTTTATTGATATCACACAGGAGAAAACAATCCCCTGTGTGATAGCAATTGGAGGTGACAGGTTCTCTTTACACCTCCAATGCAGGAGTTCTAGCACAGCACTGTGCTAGAACTCCTGTCACAGCTGAGATGGAAAGAGCACAGCTCTCCCCTCTCACTGTGTACATTGGCTGCCTTGACAGGAGACAGACTCGGCGGTCGGGGGGAGGACAGAGTCACGAAGACAGAGCCAGCAAAGAGAGGTAAGGGGGGGCGAGGGGAGGACGGACGACAGCACACATTTTACAAGTGATTGCGGCGACATTGCCGCAATCACTTGTTAATGAGCGAGCGGATTCCCCACACTACATTTAGTCCTGCCATTCCAAAGCAGGACTAAATGTAGAAAGCAACTTACCGCCCAGAACTATATGTTCCGGGAGTCGGGGACTCCACGGCGCTGACGACCCAACGCCTGGCCTCAGTGGCCTTGTGGGGAATCCGGGCCTGGTTACAGTTGACTAAAAACAAGAGACTCCCAGTGATAATACATTTGTGTTCAGCATTGGAAGGCTGGTAGTTGGAAGCTTGAGAATCCTAACTCTATGAATAAGAAACATTTTTCCTGTTTTTTTGTTTTGTTTGTTTGTTTAAACTTCAATTGGCTTTTAACCGCTTGTGGCTTATAATATTTTGGGGGAATTCCACTGGCAAAATCCTACAGACTTCTGGGTTCTACTGCCTTCCAACATACAGTTATGGTTTTCCGACTGCCTTCTCTATTATGTAAAATACATAGAGAGGAATTTATTAAAAAGGGGAGCACACAGAATCTGGAACAGCCCTGCAAGGCAACCAATCAGCTTCTCTCTTTCATTTTCAAATCTTAACTGGCCAAACTGTAGAGAGAAGCTGATTGGTTACCATGCACGACTGCTCAAGATTTTGTCTTCTCCAGTTTTGATAAATTCCCCCCATAGTAAACCCAAAAAAGAAGAACTGCACAACCCAATTATGCACCATCGAGAAAATCTAGGTATTATTGTCCAGATCCCGAGATATGCAAGAAACTGGTGGGTGAATGAAACAGTCTACATTGACCACAAACTGTATATCCAATTGTGTGGACTGACTTGAATACCTCCGCTTTGTATAAATGAAGGGAAATATGTCCTTGACTATGAAACGGCTTCTCTTTTTTGTCTTTCAGGTCACGGAACGAAAGGAGTTTTTGAGCTTCTTTCTGGATGGAGGAGAACCAGAGAAAGTTTGCCTTTTAAAGACAGGGTAGCGGATGCCTACTCTGATGTAATGGTGTCGTATACAATGACCAGTTCTCTATATATTATCACATTTGGAATGGGAGCTAGCCCTTTTACAAACATTGAGGCGGTAAAGATATTTTGCCAGAACATGTGCATTACTATTGTCCTGAACTATTTCTATGTCTTCTCCTTCTATGGCTCGTGCCTAGTCTTTGCTGGCCAACTGGAGCAAAATCGTTATCACAGTATCTTCTGTTGTAAAATTCCTTCTGAAGAGTATTTGGACAGACAACCAATATGGTTTCAAACAATGATGAGTGATGGGCATCAGCATTCGACCCACCATGAGCCAGACCCTTATGAGAGCCATTTCATTCATCATTTTCTAAGAGATCATTATAATGAGTGGATCACAAATACGTACGTCAAGCCCTTTGTGGTCATACTATACCTCATCTATGCATCATTCTCATTCATGGGCTGCCTCCAAATTAGTGGTGGATCAAACATTATAAACCTACTAGCAAGTGACTCTCCCAGTGTTTCTTATGCTTTTATACAACAAAAGTACTTTAGTAATTATAGTCCTGTGATTGGATTCTATATCTATGAACCTCTTGAATATTGGAATGCCACTGTTCAAGAAGACTTGAAAACCATAACTCATGGATTCAATACAGAATCTTGGATGGAGCAGTTCTACCAGTTTTTAAAGGTTGCTAATATTTCGGCATCAAACAAAACTGATTTCATTAATGTTCTTCAGAACGTTTTCTTGAGGAAACCAGAATTTCAGCACTTCCGAAATGACATTATTATTTCAAGGTCTGGAGATGAATTGAATATCATTGCATCACGGATGTATCTAGTGGCTAGGACTAGCGAAAACACACAATGGGAAGTGGTTGAGCTCCTTGAAAAGCTGAGGCCGCTCTCCTTGATACAAAGCATAAAGTTTATTGTCTTCAACCCCACCTTTGTTTTTATGGATCACTATGGCTTGGCAGTGACAATGCCAGTCGTTATCTCTGGTTTCAGTATCTTGCTGGTGTTAATTTTTACCTTCTTCTTGGTCATTCATCCTTTGGGGAACTTATGGTTGATAATTACTGTCACTTCTATTGAGTTGGGGGTGTTGGGTTTAATGACATTATGGAACGTTGATATGGATTGTGTATCCATCCTGTGCCTTATGTACGCTTTGAACTTTGCCATAGATCACTGTTCCCCTTTGCTTTATACATTCGTTTTAGCCACCGAGCACACAAGAACTCTATGCATACAAGATTCACTCAAGGAGCATGGCACAGCTATTATCCAGAATGTCATAACGTTTCTTGTTGGGCTGGTACCCCTTCTGTTTGTGCCTTCAAACTTGACCTCCACACTGTTCAAATGCTTGCTGCTGACTGGTAGTTGCACGATACTGCACTGCTTCGTCATTTTGCCTGTTTTCTTAACCTTCTTCCCTCCTTCTAAAAAACGCCACAAGAAAAAGAAAAGAGCCAAACGGAAAGAGAGAGAAGAGATTGAGTGCATCGAAATTCAGGAAAATGCAGATCACGTGACTTCTATTTGAAAAAACAGTGGTCAATACTCAAAGTATTTGGGCAATTGCAGGGAATGTAGGCAAAAATCAACTGCTTGTGCTGGCCAAAGTTGTACGAGGGGTATTTTTGAAACATCAAGGTGCAAGATTTTTATACTTTTTATAAAAAAAAAAAAAATATTCAATTTTCTATTACCTCATTTTCATAATGAGTCTGTTTGGTGGAAACATGGGCAACATTTGTAATTTCCCTAGTTTGCAACTGTCTTGATCCTTTAAAGTGCAGGAGATTTGACCATTGAAATGTGTCTTTATTTTTATAAATGTTTCACAAGCATGTTTTGGTGTGTCAAATCAATCCTCTGATTACATTTCACCCCATGGTTTCTGAGGACTGAAAGTCAAAAGAAATTGTTTTCTAGATTTGGATAGAGTATAGAAGTGTAAAGCTGGTCATACACCTATAAATTATCTGCAGATTTTCTATGGTCAGATGGAAAAGTGCAACGGATTCCTCCATCTACGCTAAACTGTGTGGATGGAGAAACCTCCCACTGGGCCAAGCTTCAGTATCTTGCTAGTTGGCCCCACTGGCTGTCAAAATACCTGAACAATCTGATTGGATGTAGGCAATGTTCAGATGTTTTGAGAGCCAGCGGGGCAGAATAGCAAGATACTGAAGCTTGGCCCAGTAGGAGATTCCTCCATCCACACAGTTTAGCGTAGATGAGGGAATCCGTTGCACTTTTTCCATCTGACCATAGAAAATCTGCAGATAATCTATAGTCCTATGGCCCGCTTTAGCGTTTCTGTGAGATTTGTTCTGCTGTTCCACTGAGAGAACAAGTAAAGGTTAATGCAAAATGATAGGTGTTTCACTATAAAAGGAGCACAGGGAATATTTTTCAATGAGGAACCCTGTACCATTTTCCTCACGTTGTATCACTGATAACAGAAAATACAGGGAAATCTTACTGATGGGGAAAGACAACTATTGAAATCTAACCTAAGAGTTTCTAACCCTTCCCTCTTATAGCTGTAGTTCAACTTTAAGAAAACCACGTGTGCCCTGATTTTTTAGAATTCTGCAACTGGCTCAAGCATCTCTTTTGATAATCAGGCAGTATAAACAGTAACAAGCAATTAGCATGCTTAAGCATGAGAAGTACTTGCTGTCATTTGCAAAAGATTTCCCATCATGTAACGGTCCTTTTACCATACCCATAGATAAGGACTCGGACACATAGCTACTACATATTGGAGTGCTTCTAACAATTGTGCCAAAATCCTGACATCAGATTTTGCAGTCAGCTCTTCCTTATCCTTATAGTAGTCTGAACAAGTGCCAAATTCAAGTACTATGTGATGCAAAAGCCTCATAAAGTAAAACAAATCTTCCTTTAACTTCCCTGAGTGAGCCAAATCCTCCTTAATTTGTGCTTTACACTTCCCCCTCCTGCAGTCCTGGTGTTAGAGTGACACCAATTGACTTTGTTACAGTCACATGCTTGGACAGTCACTCTTTAGATATAGTGAGCCACTATAGCATTCGACTTGCCTTTAAATTGTAATTTCAGACTCCAGTAACCAGTTGAAATAGATATATGTTTACCTAAATTCTATTTTTCAGTATGTTTGGCATCATGCCTTGGTATACAGTTTTCTCAAGCAAATCAATTTTTGCGAATCTGTTGCAGACTCTTACCTTCAGATCCATTAACTTCCTGTTTAAGGCTGACAGCGTCAAGCTGCTGCCTTGCATGTAACATGAGTGTTTTCAGCCTGCCATGTGCATTCCCTGAGTTAAGCTGGTCATACACCTTACAATTATCTGCAGATTTTCTGTGGTCAGATGGAAAAGGTGCAACAGATTCCTCCATCTACACTGCATGGAGTAATCTCCACCTGGGCCAATCTGTTGCACTTTTTCCATCTGACCACAGAAAATCTGCAGATAATTGTAAGGTGGATGGGCACCTTTAACCATGGGGCTGCCTATCAGGTCTGCACATTCCTCCTAGTTGAGCAGGACATTTCTGGAAAGGTAAATTACTTTATCGAGCCACAGAAGCATGCCAGGGGGTTACTATCACAGAGTTTGGTAGGCCCTCTGTGTAGCCAGGGGTCACAGCTGACAAAAGGGAAGACAAAAGATAGAGCGGTGCAAGTCCTCAGACAGATGGTCAAAGCAAACAATAGAAGAGTCTTCCGGATAATAACCAGGTCAGTTTCAGACAGAGTGCTTGTTCTAAGCAGAACACAGATTGGCAATAGCAGAAGGATCAGGATAGGCAGGGTCCAAACAATACATTAAATTAATCCAAGGCAAGAACAAAAGTTAGAGATATACTTGTATCTAGGGCATGAGCAAACAGACAAACATATTGATCAGGCAGTGACTTCAACGTCTGGCTTCACTTTAAAATCCACTAATGAAGTCATGCGTGCATAGCAGAGACCTGAGCTGCAGTGCTGAATAACAACCAGCAGATGGCAAAGTTTCAAGGCTGATTGTTACAGTTGTCCCCTAAACATCAGCCTCCTTTGTAAAAGAAAAGCCCATGTCTCAGACCCCAATAGCCAATCCAACTGGACAGAGCTTTCTCATCCCACAGCTTTCATAATCTGCCACTGTGGTCATTCTCATGGGATCCATTCAGTTGCAGGCAGCAATAGGCAGGGATTAAAAAGATAAACCGTGAATTTCCATGAAACAGACATTATCATTTTAGCCATTTGTTTTTAAAGAAAAACTGGTTACTCTGAAAATAAAAATAAAAATAGCTCATGAAGTGACTATCAGGGTAATAATAATACTGATGACAAACCAGAAGAACAGAGTGAATTCTATGCAAAAGCCAATGTCGTCAGTACTTGTATCCATTTTTATCTCTAAGAAGTCCCCATTTACTTGTTGATGCCTGACTCAGCCATAAGATGTCTATCCACTGAACATATCTGGGCAGAAGATGTTTGAGGAAAACACACGGTACAATGGAGAATGTACTATGAAATGTGTTTATCATGTGAGCAATTGTTGCTGCTTGTGACAATGCAGGTATCTGTAGACTGTTATTGTATCCATGAATTGCTCTACTACAAAGGCTTTGATCTATTTCCAGAGAGAGAAATGTATGTTTAGGTATGTTTCCTAAAGTCAAGATTTCCCTTGGCTTGCCTGTCTGTCAGGGCCAGCATTGGGGTAAGGCAATAAGGACACATTTGGTTTCCAGTACACTTGACTTGGAAAGTCTATGGTTTAACCAGCCAGACACCCTGCAGCAGTCAAAGGGTTCCTGGGCCTAATGGCGTCACAAGGGGGGTGCGGTCTGCACCCGTGTGACACCATTGCAGGGGTGACACCAAAATGACTGACAGTCATTTTGGTGTCACCCCCTCTTAAGAGGCGGGCACTCGGTCATGGACCGAGAGCCCAACAGTGTCAGGAGAGAGGAAGGGACCCGGCGGCATACCTTACCAGGTGAATGTCCCCTCCTCTCTCTGCCGGCGTCCAATAGCAAGATGGCAATCTGATGGCAGCGCATGTGCGATGTAACGTCACGCGCACACGCGATGATGACATGGCGGGGTGTCACCTGGTCTGGAGACCGGGTGACACCCGGCCTGGAGACCGGGTGACACCCAGCCTCTGGACACCCCTGCCTGGGCCCAGTATTTCTTTACATCTTCAAAGTAGTACTGTGGCTATTGCAATGCTTATATATTGTTAATGAGCAGCTTCAGGATAAGCCGTCACTGATGTTTGGAGTTATAGGCACTGTGGAGCAATTCAACCTCACAATAATAATATATAAACAGTGAAGTTGTTCAAGTCGGGTTCAGCACTCTGTTTCTATCCTCTTCCTGTGCACCTGCTGTCTGCATTAGAGATTAAAACTCTCTAATGCAGACAGCAGGTGCACAGGAAGCGGATATAAGCAGGGAGCAAAATGATCTACTGGGATACAATTAAAGTAAAAGCACTTTGTGTGGTAACTTTGAGGATGAATTGCTCCAGAGTGCCTGCAGCTACAGAGGTCAGTGAGGCTTGTATTTAAAGTAACCCTGCCGCTTTACTGCAGAAGTTAGACCAGTGCCACCTTGTAAAAAAAAGGAGTAGGGATACTTACCTTTCCATCTGGCAGTGTGTTAGATTTTCACTCTCTTCATCAGCTACTGACACTATTGCCTTCTGACGCGTCCAGGCGTGTCGGATAGCGTGTCCCCCTCTGTGCACCTTGATTCTCTCTGCCCTCAAATCACTACAGAACACGCTATAACACACACATGGAAATGCTTGATAACAGTGGCAGCCATAGCTCATGAAGAGATTGAAGATTTGACCCAGTGCCTGACAGAAGCCTAAAGTTTCCTCATATTTTTTTTTTTTTACAGGGTGGGATGTATTTTTCTTCTGCTTGTTAAGAATACTAAGATATTTGAATGTCTAAAACCTGCCCATAAATCTACTTTATGATTGTTATACCCTTCGAGTTATAATGAAAGTTACAGTCTTATGGTGTGGAGCAAGGAACACCAGAGCACTGCACTAATCTGCACACCAGGCCAAACAGAACTCACAGGATCACAACAGCAAGGTTCAATTTTCAATGTTTAGAGGTCCTAGCCTATGAGCAGATGCAAAGTATTAAAGTGGACCTTTCAGTAACTTTGCAAGTCTGCATGAATAAATCCCTGACATGTCGCAATATACCGAAACAGCATAATTTTTCAAAAATGTGTACCTTTTATTAAAAAAGCATGATGCCATCAATCTGCTGCAGGCAGGAGAGGCAGTCTGCTCTCCCCCGGGGATCAGAAGGCAACATTTTACCTTTGTAGGAAGTCATAAGGTAGGAGACTTAGGTGGAGGGATGATCTGTGCAGCAGCAGGCAGCAGGATTTCCATGACTGTGTTATCTCTGAGCCAGCATCTGAGTCCAGAAGTAGGTGCTGATCCTGCATGATTCCTGAATAAAGGGGGCATGGTCCACCGGTACAGAAATGCAGATGAAGGCATTGTCAGGGGG